AGTGACGTCAGCTGTGGTTGAGGATCAGGCTGTAGTTCCATACGGAGGAAACATGGCAGAAAGGTACGCCTATGAGCTAGGGCAGGTATGGTAACATCTTATAACACTATATGTGCGTGTGTGTGTGTTCCAAACGACGATAGAGCATCATGACTTTCTATAAAATTAAAAGCTCATTATTTTTACATGGTAATACTGAAAAATATAAAGCAAAACAACTATTTGAAATTCCGCCACAAAGAAGTTGTGCTAGTTTATACTGCTTGTTGTCCCATACACTGACCAATTTGGGGTGTTATCCCATTTAATGCTAGCCCTTCTGATGATATGTCACTGTTTCAAATTGCATTTCTTTGGATACTAATGAAGTTGAGCGTTTTTTTCCATATCCTTTGGCCTTTTATAAATCTTTGTCACATGTGTATTCGTCCTTTGCTTGTTGTTCTCCTGGGATATTCTTTTCCTTAACAAATATAATCTTCCCGTATATATTAAAGGTAGTCCTCAGTTTCTGTTTGTTAGAAATGTGCCCTGGCTTGTCTTGGGATCTTTTGCGATTTGCTATTTAAACCCTGCAGGCTGGGTTCTCCCTCCTGCAGCTCTGGTGGAAAAGTTCACACAAATGAACACCCAGAGGCCCGTCGGGCTGCTGCTAACCCTGTGAGAGCCGCCAGTGGCTTGGGTGAACCGGAATATACCCAGGCTTGTGCTGTGGCCCTTTTTTTTCTTCCGGGAGTTCAAACCAAAGGCTTATTTGAGTCAAGGAAATTCTTTCTCCTTTTTTATTTTCCCCGAATTTCCTCTCAGGTTTTCTCAGCCTCAGCACTACTGACATTTTGGGTTGAATAATTCTCTGTTGTTGGGGTCTGTCCTGTGCCTTGCAGGATGTTGGCAGCATCCTGGTTGCTAAGATGCCCGGAGCATCCCCCTGTTCCGACAACCAAAAATGTCTCCATCCATATGCACTTCACTTAATTTTATTTAACACTCAATATTTAATCGAGA